AACCTGGCGGCCGCTTCACCCTGAAAATCCACATGCCACTGACGATGTTCGCCCCAGGAGGGGGAACCTCGTCAACGTAGGTGCCTGTGGACTTCCACGATGCCATCTCTGCGTCCATAGTTGTCTGCCACTGAGAGGAGTACTCACCCGCGATCGCCTCAGTCTAAGGGTGCGGGGTCAGGATGTCTGGAGCATCCGGGTCTCCCTCAGGGGCAAGCAGCATGGACACGAGATGAGGCGCAGCGGCTGCAAGACACTCAAGGTCCTCCTGCCTGTCCTCAAGGACGTCCATGCCAAGAGCACACTCACCCCCGACGGACAGAGGACTGACATACTCAGACTCAGCAACAAGACTAGCGGCGTAGTCTGGACGACACGCAGCAGCAAAGTCAACTAGCTAAGCGACTCAGGCAGACGCATCAGCAGACTCAAACGACGGGTCAGTGACAACTGTGGCTAGCAGACGCGTGACAGTAGGGTGAGTAGCACGGGTGCGGCCAGACTCAGGCTCAGGAACGGTAGGTAGAGAAGACGCAGGAGGGGACGGCAGGGGAACACGCTGCGGAGGAGAGGAAGGACGACGGACTACGAGGTGGGTGCCGGGGACAGCCGGCTAACGCGAACGAGGAACACGACGACCGAAATGACCAGAACGGACAGGCGAGATAGGACGCAACGCAGGCTCACGACGCTCAGTAAGACCCCCTGTCTGCTCAGTGTAAGGAGAAGGAGCAGGCAGCGGTGAGCCAGGCTGTAACGGAAGACCAGTAGACGAAGGGAGACTAAGAACGTGGCGAAGCAGAGACCAAAATCTCAAGCCAAATAACATTCACACACACTCAGAATAACCAAACCACATCAAACACAAATTCTTGCACACGCTCACACCACGCATGCAACGCACGAGCATGTGATGGGAGGCAGACGGCGTGAATGCAAGTGATAGCATCACATAACAAGAATCTAGCAACAGGAATGAATGCACTATGAAATAGTAGGGTACAAGTATGAACCCCTAAGCGGGGCTGTACCCCATATTGGCTACCCCACTACAGCCTACACATGAAAAGCATTTATATACTTTGACACGCTCCTCTGGCTACAGGTCACTCGCTCTCAGCTCCACCTTCGGACGAGTCCGTAGAGCCGAGTGGCCAGTACCCAGAGCTAGTGGGCTGCCTCATGTACCTGATGACCTGCACTCGCTCTTGGCCTTTTGGCACGCTACGTGGCTCCTAGTAGGCACCGAAAGGTGCACATGGATGTTGCGAAGAGGGTACTGCGCTACTTGTGTAGTACATCGGGCATGGGCTCGTGCTTGGAGGGCGAAGCTCAGTTGTCCTTACTGGTCACTCAGACGCTTCTTGGGTTGACGACCTGGCTACGCAGCGGTCGTCACAGGGTTACACTTTGAGCCTTGGTTGCGGCTCTGTTTCTTGGCGGTCTACCCGCTCGTCTTTTGTTCTCAGCTCCAGTTGTGAGGCTGAGATCTGCGCCACAGCCATGGCCGCATAGGAGTTACGCTGGCTCACCTACCTGCTGACTGACTTAGGAGAGCGGCCTCGTTCTCCTCCATTTCTGTACATAGACAACAAGGCCGCCATTGCCTTGTGTCCGGAGAACAGACTGGAGCACAGAACGAAGCACATCACTCTGCGTTACTTCCTGGCTCGAGAGTTGCAGCAGCGTGGTCAGCTTCGTCTTCCGTTCTCCCCCACTTTGCCTATGGGGGTGTGTCAAACTATATATGTGTTAGTTCTGTGTAGGCTCTAGTGGGGTAGCCCATATGGGGTACAACTCGAAGTTAGGGTTAGTACTTATACCCACATTTCATTGAATGCAATCATTCCTGCTCGCTATCTTGACAATTGAGGCCTGGATGAGACGGGGGGAGCAGAGTAAGAATTCCGCTTAGTCTGTAGAGTGCAAGGGGTGTGCGCCTCCGGTAGCAATTTCGCCCCGTAATGGCCATTAGAAATGCGCTTTCACAATTGCGTAGCCTGCCATGTGACGGCACTGTGCGGACGAGTTTGCGTCACTATCTCGTCCCCTGTTGAGTATGCGGATTGTGCTAGATTACGTCGTGTTCCCGCAAAAACCACATCACATTCCTAACTACGTTGCGCGTGTTCTTGTAAGCCGTGGCGCATGTCATTTGTGATTTCGGAGGGGCGACTCACTCCATGTCGTTCTCGGTGTAATCGCACTCTGATTTGAGCGGCACAGAAACGTGAGGCTCAAAGCCATCGGTGGCTGCCGTTAGCACATTACTATCAATGAAGAGCCTATGGTTATCTCTGGCGTCACTACTTACCTCGATGATGTCAAAATTATATTTATTATAACTGCATGTAGTTCTAGCAGTAGTGTAGTTATTTAAACTTTGTATTGGTGGTGCACCTTATGTGTTTCCTTTGCTATATGTACTTCAAAACTATAGTGAAGCTCCTCATTCTCCCAACTTTTTCTCAACTCACTCGAACTCCTACCTAGGCAGAAAACCGCTCGACACCTAAAGCTCGGGCCTAGGCTACTAAGCCTAGGCCCCACCTTTCTACCTCTCAACTTACCCATTCTTATTACTCTCGACATGTTATCGGAGCTGAGTTCGTCCTGGCCTGTGGGCCCGCTTTACACTTCCGCTGCTAATATTTTCCGGTCGCGCGCCTAGGGCGCGTGACGATTTTATTTTTACCTTGTCCCGCCCACGGGCGTGTGACTCCTTCCCTGCCCGTCGCGCGCCCCGTGGCATGTGACGGTGCCCTTCAACTGCCCATCGTGCGCCCCGTGGCACACGATGGTGCCCTGCTCGTCGTGTGCCCCGAGGCACACGATCGGGCCCTTTTATTCTACCCGTCGTGCGCCCCGTGGCACTGGCCCGCGACGGGCCTTCTTTCCGCCCATGCACTCCCTGAAGCCGCCCCTGACCCATCTGCACCGACACCTCTTCGCCGCTCTGCGGCTTTCTTCCTTCCCACCCCCCTTCTTCCTTTGCCTCCCTGCAGCCGTGGGGAGGAGGGTATGGGGGTGGAGGGTGTTGGAGTGTGGCGTCACCTCTCTCCCTTCCCCTCCTCCTTCTTTCAGTCCCACCGCTGCAGCTGCCGCTGGGGGAGGAGGGTGTGAGGATGTGGGGGAGTAGGGGGAGTGGTATCGGGGTGGCGGGTGTGAGGCAACAAGCAGCCGTCCCTCCACCTCTCCTCTCTTCCCCCTTTCTCTGCTGCTTCTGCAGCAGTGTGGGGGAGGGGAAGGGGGAGGGTGAGGAGATGGAGGGGGTGTACCTGCTGTTGCTTGTTTTATTGTTCGTTGGTGTACCTCTGCAGGTTGTGCTCTGCACTTAGCTATTCCTGCATGCAGTTACGGGGGGATGTCAAAATTATATTTATTATAACTGCATGTAGTTCTAGCAGTAGTGTAGTTATTTAAACTTTGTATTGGTGGTGCACCTTATGTGTTTCCTTTGCTATATGTACTTCAAAACTATAGTGAAGCTCCTCATTCTCCCAACTTTTTCTCAACTCACTCGAACTCCTACCTAGGCAGAAAACCGCTCGACACCTAAAGCTCGGGCCTAGGCTACTAAGCCTAGGCCCCACCTTTCTACCTCTCAACTTACCCATTCTTATTACTCTCGACAGATGATAACTCCAGCCTGTTCGTCGTCGCCTTACCACCAGCACACGGTCTCGCGTGCGTAAGTATTGATTAGGTCAACTATTGGTGGGTGAGTGTGTTGTCTCGGATGTCTCACTCGAAATTGTGCAAACAGTCGACCCAACCCTGGGTTAGGCGTGCGACACCAAATCCGTCGTCACATATTGTCTTGCACACCCACCCACTGTCGATAGTGGTTTCGCGAAGAAGTGTTGGTTCGTGTTGCGAAATGAAGGTTCTTTGGCGAGTCTAGTTTTGACTCAACTTTAGTTTCAGATTCGTAAGCCAATCAGACCAGCCCTTTTTACCTCGACTGCAAAGCACTTGATTCTCTTGAGACCATGACTTTAAGACCGTTGCCCGAGGGGAGGGAGGTCACAGTCAATCGCGGTCGTTCAAGGCAAAGATCCGGCGGTGCCAAGGAGTGCCCCGTAAATTTATGGCCGCGAGGAGCAACTAACTCGTTCTCCTGGTTGGCCTACGTGCAACTCTTCGACCCCATGACATCCTTCTTCATCCCCCCTCCCCGGGGGGTATTACACCATAATAAACGGGTAGGCTAGAAAATTACCTACGTTACCAGGTGTTATGAATGAACTTTCAGAGTTACTGTCAAATCACTGAATGATGATACGATGAAAGTGACAGGATTTGATAGGGGAAATCCTTGCTGTGCGTGAAGGTCGGACGAATGTGGTTTGGAAAGGTTGCGATTGGAGCGGGAGCGATTCGGGCATGGGTTGGGTGTGGCATTGTAGGCCGAACCATATGACGCATGGCCCTCGGGTTGTACTCGCAAAAATGCGCGTACATTAAGGAATTACAATCTCTTACATAGGTAGCTTAAAGCCCGCGTCCCAAATTGCGGGCCGCGAGGGTCAAGTTTTTAAAACTTGACGAAGTTGAGTGTCCAAGCTTTTGAAAGTCACGCACTTGTAATTTGGGACTTACGAAGACAGATTCACTCACCAGGGGGAAAACCGAGGGTTGGCTGGGTCTCGCGAAAAAAACGAACCTAGACGAAATCGGAAACTCTCGCCAAAGCCCACACCAGAAAAACTCCCTCTGGTCAACTTTTAAAAGCATGAACAATTTTGGCCGCCGGCTTTAATTGTAACTTGGAGGAAGTAGTGAATGTAGTTTTTTTCAACCATATCGTATGTTTTTCCATGCAAACACGCACACATACGACTATGAGCAGTACAGCGTTCTCATTGAGAGTACGGCACCTTTGGAACACGCCACTAGAAATAGGAGCACATCTCCCAACCCTTGATCAGGCTCGTCATTCGGCACCTATCCCTAGCCAGGTGCGCGTCACGGCGCGTCTCGACAAAGTTGAGTGTGCCATGGCGACGGCAGGAGCGCTGCCGTCGCGGCTGCTGGTGCTGGTGGGGTCGGAGACGGGCAACGCGCAGGACGCGGCGGAGCAGGTAGCGCGAGAGGCGGCGCGGCGCGGATACGGCGTGCGCGTGACGTCCATGGCGGACTACCGCGCGGTGAGAGCGGCGCGCTGGGGGAAGCGGAGGAGAGTGCGCCGGATGAGGAGGAGAGCGCGAGAGGTTTTGAGGAGAATGAGGTGGTTGGGGGGGCTAGCAGTATTCTGAGAGAGGCGCGGGTAGATGGAAAGGGTTTGGGAGGAATCGAATGAGCGCGAATATTGCAGTAGGTAATTAACACAGATCCCGGCGCGCAGGCCTTGTTCTTGCACTCATGACTCCTACTCCGCGATGCGCCCCCTCCCCCCTCACCACGAATCCCCCTCCGTGCAACTGCGTGTGTGGCGCGCGTGCAGGAGCAACTGCCCGGGGAGGCAGTGGTGGTGCTGGTTGTGGCCACGGCGGGGCAGGGCGAGGTGCCCAGCAGCATGAAGGTGAGCCATGGGGACCAGGAAGAGCATGAGGGCCACGGAGATTATAAGGGCCAGGGGGATCACGGGGACATTCCAGGGAATAGGGTCCATGCCCACGCACCCCCGCCACACAAATTGCATGCCATGCTTCACTGTGGTGTGTTGTTTCAAGCGACGCGCTCTCACCACACCACACCTCGTCCTGCACTCCGCCCGCTCTCCCCTCTCCCCCAGCGCTTCTGGCGCTATCTGCTGCGGCGCTCGCTGCCGCGCGACTGGCTGGGCGGCACGCGCTATGCGGTGTTCGGGCTGGGGGACTCCGCCTACCAGCACTTCAACGTGCGTGCCCTGCCCTGCCCCGCCCTGCCCTCTGCTCTCTCGCCCTCCCCCACCCTCTGCACCCCCATTGCTGCACTGCTCCCAATTCCTTTAAGCCTGTGCTCCTCTTCCCCGCCCCCCTCACTCACTCTCCCGCTGCCAGTCTTGGCGCGCTGCATGCTGCCTCGGCGCCACCTCTGGGCCGCTCATCCGAACCCTTTTCCTCCTCCCTGCAGCCCGTCTGTTTTTTTTGCAATTTGGAAACACATCTACGTAGCTGCTCTTGAATCCCGCAGCCCAAATTGATTAAATTTTGTAGGGTTAACGTGAAGTTTGCACCAGGTGGGCTGTGCTGCTCTCTCATCAAGTCCCCACTTCAATTTTCTGGATAGGTTTGGTATCGGGAGTTCCAAATTGCATGCGGTGATCTTTCAGGTTTGCCGCAGTCGAAAGTTGGACGAGGCCTCTCGCAAGTATTCAGCCAGGTAGATTGTTTGCACAAAGTAAAACCACATGCTTCACGGATCCGTGTTCTACTACACAGCAGAAAACCAAGTCTGCTGCGCGTGGCTCGCAAGTTGGGACACGGGCTCTAAGGGCCCAATGCTTCTCAACGGTGTCATGCCACTCTGCTCTATGCCCTGCCACCATGCCACGGCGTGCAGGCAGCAGCGAAGAAGGTGGATCGGCGCATGATGGATGTGGGCGCCGTGCCTCTGCTGCCCAGAGGGCTGGGAGACGACCAGCACCCCTGTGGGTGAGTGCCCCCTCCCCCATGCTCACGCCCACGCCCGTGCTCCCTCTCCCGCGCTCCCACACTCCTGCAATTCTCCTATCTCTTTAAAAGCCCACCATCTCTCCGCATCTCCATCCCCATCGCATGCACACAACCCCCCCCCCCCCCCCCCCCCCCCCTCCCCCCCCCCCTTTCCCCCCCCACAAAACCCCTAACCCTTTTCCCCCTTTCTCCCCCGTGTGTGCAGGTACGCACCAGCGCTGGACGTGTGGCTGGCATCGCTGTGGGCCGTGCTGCCACCACCGCCACGGCTCCCCTCGGCCTCCTCCGCCCTGCCCCCTGAGGACCGCCCCCGTCTACACGTGCAAGTGGTGCCTGATGCCACCGCAGATACTGCACCGCCACCACACACGGCAGCACCGCCATCCGCCCCTGCACCTGACGCTGGTGGGTGCCCCACTGCCCACCTCACCAGCAGGTCGCTGTCGCTATCGTGTTGGCCCGGCTGTGTCGCCTGCCGCATGGCCTCACTTGCAAACCATGCCCTGCCACCCGCATGTGGTAGGAGCCATCAACTGAATCCCTTTATTGTCGCCCGTTTGTTCGACCCCTTGACCAGCGATAGCAGCGGATGAGTGGGTGGCATGGTCGCACGAGATGGCGGCAGCAGTGGCCATGATGGATGCTGCACTCTCCGCGCCCTGGACGCCCCACTCGCCCTCGCACGCCGGCACTGCCGACGCCACTGCTGCTGCTCCACTTGCTGCTATTTCTGACCAACCACCAGTACTTGAGGCCACCGATGCTGCGTCTCCTGTCACTTCAGCAACAGCAGCAGCAGCAGCAGCAGGTGGTGGTGGTGATGGTGGTGCAGGGGACAAGCAGCCCACTTTCGACCGCCACCATCCGTTCCTCGCAACGCTGGTGAGACACACATGAATCATGATTCCCGCACCCAGCCGTTTTAACCCTGAGCTCTTTGACCAACACCCTCTCTGCTTCTTCTGCCTCTCCTCTCTCTCGCCTGCCACATCAATGCCAACTCATTCCGTTTCCTTTCGTTTTCTCCCCACCATGCGTCATGCATGCGCTCATACTAGGGTATACCTGCTCTGCCCCAACCACGCTCACTCCTCCCTCTTCCCTCTTGTCGTCATGCCACTGCGCTTCCATCAGCTTGCAGCGTCTCCCTGTGCTCACAGCACCACTGGCAGGATGTGATGCCTGTGGCCCCCAGCAGCAGGTGGCAAGGGAGGGGGAGATGGAATGGAAGGAGGGGAGGGAGTGAGATGCGTGTGTGACCTGCCATCCTGTGCTGTGCGCGTGGCAGGAGGTGAATCGGCGCATCACAGCAGAGGGCCACTGGCAGGACGTGAGGCACATCGAGCTCGACGCCCGTGGGGTACGCTGCTTCTCCTGTTTCTTGCTGCTCCTCTTCCTTGCTGCTGCAAAACAGTGTGGCGTGCCCCATGAGCTCACTGCCGCTGCTGGGCTGCTATAACAACTGCCCCAGTACAGCCCCACTCCCATCTCTACCGTCCCTGTGATCACCCTCGATATAGCCTCATTCATTCACTCGCCTGTCTCCATCTTTCCTTCACATTTCTTACTTCCTCTCTGTCCCCCTCCCCCCTCCACGTGCCACTGGGCCCCGCATGACTTCCCCAGGGACCGCAGTACTCCCCGGGGGACGTGCTGCACGTGTTCCCCTCGCAGCCACGCTCCGCTGTGCTGGCTCTGCTGCACCGCTGCCACCTGCACCCACACACACGAATCCTCGTCAGTGCCTCCTGCAACCACGCACACACACTCTCACTTGCACCGCCCTCTCTCACCACCCTCTCTCACCACCCTCTCTCACCACCCTCTCTCACCACCCTCTCTCACCACCCTCTCTCACCACCCTCTCTCACCACTCTCTCACACGACCCTCTCATTTACACCAACCACAGAGTCATGGTCGTCCCACCCTGCAATCCACAGGGCTTGCTGTTTGCAACTTCACTCCCTTTACACACACGGCATCTCTCTTAACCCTCTCTTTTCCAACCCGTACCCTGGCTGTTCTCCCTCTGTTCTCATGCCATGCTCTGTGTTATGGGAATGGGTGTAAGGGCCTCTCCGTCCCTTCCTCGCATGCATCTATTCCCTCATTGCAGCTTCGCCTATTTTGACCTTCCGCCTCTGTCCTTCCCTCCCGCCCCTCCACTTGCCCAGTACAATTGTCAGCGGCAGCACACTCTTTTTCAATGTGCCTGGCAACTTCCTTCCTCCTCTCTCATCATTCGTGTACGCACACCATCCCACCACACCACAGGTGCGGCCAGCAGGCGAGCTCTCCTCCACTGCTGCAGGGGGCACGCCAGTGTCGCTGCTGTCGCTCGTGGCGGCCACACTGGACATCAACTCCGCATCGCCACGCGCCTACTTCTTTGAGGTCAGCATGGCAATGCACCATCACTCTCCCCATGCTGCCCTCCACAACGCAGTCCTCTCTCTGTGCTGTGCACATGCATGGCCGTGGCCCTCTATTCCACCCTATGGACCGTCACTGACCCTCACCCATGGCCAGTGGTTGTACTTGCCTGCCTCCCCTGCCCTCCCACGTGCGTGCCCTGTGTGCCCTGCTGTGTGCGGGGCAGGTGTTGGCGCGCTTTGCATCGGACGAGAGGGAGCGGGAGAAGCTGGCATGGCTGGCATCGCCAGAGGGCCGTGAGGATCTGCACGAGTACAACCAGAGGGAGAGGCGCACCGTGCTTGAGGTAAGGCTGCTCTCCCTCTCCTAGTGACTTGCTGCCCAACTGTTCCAGTTCCCTTGTCTCCTTGCCTTTCGTCACAACCTTATCCTCCCCGCTTGTCCCTCTGCAGTGTTGTCCTGATTCAGAAGCACCCTGTCATCCAGCCCGGTGGCAGCTACATCTGCCTGCCCAGCTTCGTCTAATATTCCCATCCAACCGTGCGCCACCACGCTCTGCACTCTCCCGCTCACCCCTCTCCCTTCCCCCCCACCAGGTGCTACAGGAGTTCTCCTCCGTGGCACTGCCTCTGCCCTGGCTGCTGCAGCTGTGTCCGCGCCTGCAGCCGCGCTCCTTCTCCATCTCCTCCGCCCCGCTCGCCCACCCTGGTCGCTGCCACATCACAGCAGCGCTCGTGCGCGTCACCACGCCCCTCAAGCGCACGCGCCTCGGCCTCTGCTCGCGCTGGCTGGCTTCCCTGCACCCAGGCCAAGGTCAGTCTGCCTCCTCTTCCCCATCTGCTGGTCACACACGCAACACATCGTTCCAGTCCCGTGCGTGCCCCAGGCAATCTCACATGGCTCCTGGGAAACAGCTTCACTAAATTTGGAATCGATTCCCTCACCCAAATATCACGCCACTTTCCCTCCTTGCCTGCCTCATGCCTCCCTGTTGCCGCTATCCCCATCCATGTGTGCGTGCCTCCGTTGCTCCCCTCTGCCATGCAGCCCCGCCTCTGCCCATCTGGGTCATGCCCGGCACCCTCTCTCTACCGCCCCCCTCCGTGCCACTTGTTCTTGTTGGCCCTGGCACTGGCTGTGCTCCCTTCCGCTCCTTCATCCACCAACGAGCATGCCTTTCACGTGCTACGGCCCCTGCTGATGCGGCTGGTGCAGAAGATGGTGTTGCTGGTGCAGCGGCACCGGTGCTCTTCTTCTTTGGGTGCCGCTCACAGCAGGGCGACTACCTGTACCAGGCGGAGTGGGAGCGCCTTGCAGGCATGCACCAGCAGGCGCGGTTGGATGAGGGAGGCGGCTGGCAGGAGGGGATAGCAGGGAGTGAGAGCGTCAAGGCAAATGGCAGTGTGGGTTGCACTGATGAGGCAGCTGGAATGGATGGGGTGAATGGGGCTGGTGCGGTGGCAGAGGAGTCGAGAGTAATCGGTGCAGGAGGGCAGAGGGAGGGGCATGAGGGCACCCCTCTGGCGCAAGAGAAGGGAGGTGGGCTGTTTGTGGCGTTCTCGCGTGACCAGCCATCCAAGGTGTACGTGCAGCACCTGATTCGAGCGCAAGCACGGCAGGTGTGGCACTTGCTGCAGCAGGGTGCCGCGGTTTTCATTGCTGGCTCAGCCAATAAGATGCCGGCAGATGTCATGCGCTCACTGGAGGATGTGGTGAGGAGGGAGGGTGGGGTGGAGGAGGAGCAGGCGAGGGTGTGGGTGAAGGCGCTGCAGCGAGCAGGAAGACTCATGGTGGAGGCATGGTCATGAGTCATGACGCGTGGATGTCTAGGTAGTTTTGAGGGACACGCTGAGTCTGGTAGACCTTGTTGATGGGAACAGTCCTGTGTCCAAGTAGTCTCTTGGATTTCCATGTGGTCTTATTGGTTGCCAGAGAATCTTTATCCAACCATGTGGAAAGGTGCTCACAACTGTTGGAAACAATCGGTCCTAAGCGCCTCTGTCGTGTCGAAACACTAAGGCACAAGCGAAGCAAAGCAAATCGAGGAACCAGCGAGTCAACCCTCGGAGGTTGAAGTAACCGCTGGAGGTTACGCGAAAGTCAAAGGTCAGTGACCTTTGACCTGACAAGTACAGCGCGACAGCAAGGACACACAACTGACTCGTTGCAGAGCAGTTGCCCGAGTCGTCACTGTATCGAACCGCAACAGCAACAGTAAAGTAGTTATAACTGTGTCTTCTCATATTCCTTGTATTCATATATAATCTTGTATCTCCTTGTTTTAATTAACTTACTTTTCCCTCACATACTAGCGCAAGGTGGTTCACAACTCCTTATTAACGCTTCCGCTACTACACCAACTCTACCGAGAGTTCACCCCTGCAAAGATCCTAAGGGCTTTTTCAGCCCAACATGGTATGAGAGCTATCAGGGGGAATTCAACTTCTATACCAACAGTATCAATCAGCATGGCTACACAAAAAGGAGCAACTCCAACGGCTCCTAGGGAACTACTCCTACTCCACCTCCTGCCTCTGGCCTACAAACAGAGGAGGGCACGGCAGCAAGACCCAGAGGAACATCTACCGAGACTCCCGCGAATCAACCTGCAGACTTCGACCAGAGCATGATGGAGAAGTTTTTCTCCTTCATGTCCTTCTACGAGCAACACCAGCAATCAGCACCTGCGCAATCACACAACAGCAACAACAACGGAGCAACACCCATGAGTCTCGACGGCTCATCATATGCACGAGGAAATCAACAACAGCAGCCTACCTTTGCTCCATACGAGCGCGGGTCCATCAGCTTCATGCCACACCCACAGCCCTCACCTGGACAAGAAAAACCACTGGACGCATTGCAAGTTCAGTCGCAGCTCGCTCACGTTCTGAAGATGCAGACGTCAAGACCCTTCGATGGAAATGACTTCTTCACCTAGTCGTTCGAGTTCGAGCTGATGATGGAAGGCGCGCAGATACTCGGGTTCTTCGACGGGTCTCTGCCATACCCAACAAACGGCACACAGAACGAGAAGCAGCAGTACACCTATCAGTCAATGATGGCGTATACGATCCTACTGAGGAACATCACCCCGACTCAACAGCAGAACATAAGGACTTACCGAGGTTACGGCAACTCCCCGGAGCTCGCGTACAACCACCTGAAGAGCCTGTATCAAGCAACAGACAGCGTAAGTCAAAGTCGGTTAATGGCGCAACTGACAACGGTTGAAATGAAACCAGGGGAGAAAGGAATGGCGTATATCAGTCGATGTCGCGAGTTGCGCGACAAGCTTCTTCGATGCGGAGGGTCGATTTCTGAAGACGCCTTCGTGACAGTCATCATCGGCGGCCTCGGTCCTCAATGGCGCGCCACAAAGGCCATCCTCCGAGCTCACGGAAGAATCTCCGAAGCAGCGCTCTGCGCCGAAATCCACGCCGAGCAGCAAGACATGGACCTGCAAGAAGAACGACACAGAAAGAAGACATCAGCACCGGAATTCGCGTTCCACACCCAGCGACGCTACAACAACAACAACAACAACCGGCAGCAACAACCGAAGCCAGTACCTCCGTTCTGCCACATCTGCAAAACTTCAGGACACCCGCGTACACACTGCCCGAATCGTCAACAGTCAACAACCCCACAACGACAACTCCGACCTTCAAGCAGCCAAATCGTCTCAACGCAAGTAAATCCCACGACTCAGATTCAAGCTTCAACGATCTCAACAGGACAACCTGCACAAGGAGCAAGAAACATCGTCAGATGCATGGCAAAGCTGACAGACTCCTGCATCACCGAGTCACCACCACACTACTCACCGGAAGAACAACTCGACGAAACCTCACCCCGCCGCGAGTCACTTCAGCCGAACCCGACATACGCCGCCATCGCCCAAAGCGAACCATCGGGAAGGGACACATGGTTCTTGGACAGTTGCTGCGGACAGCACATGTGCTCCTCGAGACGCTTCGTTCAACGAGAACACCAACTTCAAGTTGTCATTACAGTCGCCAACAATCAGAACCTGCGAACACGACGACAAGGCATAGTTCAACTTCAGTCAAGGGAAACAAACGTTATACTGCAGATGTCAAAAGTACTAATCGCGGAGGGACTCGGCTACAACTTACTGAGCGTCAGTCAGCTAATGGCGAAGGGGATTCACCTCGAAGCAGACAGCACCACCCAAGAATTCAAGCTGTATCACGGGAGAGGAGGACTCTACATCGGCAAGGCGGTCCTCAAGAACAACGTCTTCGTTCTTGATTTCGTTCCTGACCTTGGCACCGCCGACAGCGACGCCATCGTCAACTTCACCAACTGGACACACCCTCCAGGCCTTGATCCAGACTTCAGTCCAGAAGGCTTCTGGTATTCACACACCATCCCTGAAGCAGAAAGAACAAGGGCGTTAGCAACAATTCAGACAACATCAGCAGCAGCAGAGACAACATCGGCAGCAGCAGAGACAACGTCGGCAGCAGCAGAGACAACATCGGCAGCAGCAGAGACAACATCGGCAGCAGCAGAACCATCAACGGCAGCAGCAGAAACGTCAACACCAATTGCTGGTCCTTCAACGAGACCGCTCCTCATCGACGACACACCACCAACACCCGCGCAACAACTACACCCAGCACCACGAGAAGTTCATCGTAGCGCCAACTTCACCACCAACTTCTACTCCAACTCCGACATGTACCGACGATCACCCGGACATCGCGCTGACGAAAGCACCTGGCACGCAAGGATGGGACACCCAAGCAACACGGTATTAAACAATACGATAAGAGCAGAAGTACTCGACAAGGACTCACTCCTACTGACCGACGGACGGGAACTTCAACGAGTACGCGGAACGTGCTTCACCTGCCCTGAAGGTGACTTACCACATCGACCGTTGGCGCCTCATCACAACCCGAGCGCTCCCGCATACGCACCACTCGAGAAGGTGTATAGCGACATCCTATTCAATCGGGAACCAGGACAAGTAACATACAACTACACGATCACCTTCATCGACGCCGCCACCCGTTTCGTCTGGCACCTAAACCTCCCTAGCCGCGACATGGCATTCGCAGCCTTCATTGCCTGGCTACCAGTAGCAGAGAGAGAATCGGGCGTGCAACTGAAAAGCTTCCAGTCAGACGGAGGAGGAGAATACACCTCTCAGCGATTCAAGCAGTACTTGGCGGAAAGGGGAATCAAGCAGCTCATCTCCCTTCCCTACGCCCATCAGCAGCAAGGTGTAGCAAAAAGAATGAACAGGACCCTGCAGAACAGCATGCGCAAACTGTTACGTGGCATACGGCTACCCAACCACCAGTGGCCTGCAGCAATGGACCACGCTGTCATGCTGCACAACTTGCTGTCATCATCATCGCTTCCGAACAACGCATCACCGCCTCTGCTATGGACAGGGAAACAGGGCAGCACAAAAATGTTACGAGTTTTCGGATGCATGGTACAGTACCGACCCCCAGCAGCACGAGCGGGCCGATTTTCTCAACGAGCACAGTGGGGACCACACCTGGGAATCAAAAAGAACTACAACGCGTGGAAAATCTTCGACATCCACTCCAAGGAAATAGTAGCAGCACGTGACGTAATTTTCTACGAATGACTCACGCTCCAGACGTACCTTGCCAACCTGTAAGAAGACGAAGATCCCACAGGTGGTTTTTGTGGTGACCGAGCCTTCGCCTCAGCAGCGGACGAAGCTAACTGGGACGAGTAGAATGTGGACAACGCATCAGAAGAAGCCGGACCTCTCCCGTTCTGCTCCGTCGACGTTCCCATGGACGAAGACAACCCTCGCGAAAGTGCCAACGCCGAAACCTTGTACCATTTCGCCGACAACGGTTACGTAACACCTACGACAGTCAACACCAACGAAGCAGAACGAATAGGACCGAACTTCATACCTGATCCAGAAGCGGGAGATGAAGCAGCTTATCCCGAGGACGTAAATCTTCCCCGCTACTCACAGAGTGGACTGCAGATTCTCGGGCTCGTCACCGCAGTCCATGGCTCAACCACTCCAAAAGAGCCCGCGACGGTTCAGCAGGCTCTGGGGGGGGAACATAAGGAAAAATGGCGCGAAGCCATGGACAAGGAACTAAAGGCACTGGAGGAACGCAACACGTGGAAAGTGGTTCCTATCGGCTTGGCACGGAACAAGACAATGCTCACCGGGAAGTGGGTCTTCCGTGTGAAGACAAAGGCCGACAGCACCATTGACAAATTCAAAGCTCGCTGGGTTGTACGCGGCTTCGACTAAGAGCACGGACGAGACTTCACCGAAACCTTCGCTCCGGTTAGCCGCCACACCTCTCTACGCATTCTCCCCGCAATCGCCGCCATGAAGAAGAAGAAGCTACGACAAATCGACGTCGCGAACGCGTTTCTCTACGCACCTGTTGATGCAGAAATCTTCGTCGAGCTACCGCACGGCTCCCACACAGAACCCAACCAAGTCTGCCAGCTACTCAAGTCACTCTACGGCATCAAGCAGGCTCCGCGACTGTGGCAACAGTACCTGCACGCTCGCCTCATCCGCATCGGCTTCAAGCAACTACCGCACGATCAAGGCATGTACCGGCTCACTAAAAACGACGACTACATCCTACTAATCGTCTACGTGGACGATCTCCTTTACATCGGCTCAACTGACGGCATCACCACCTGGTTCGAAGGGGAGCTGCAACGGGATCTCACGCTCACAGTTTCATCTACCGTCACACAGTACCTCGGCCTCAACATCCGGGAAGAGGAAGACGCTATCTACCTCAGCGCCGCA